TTGGACCCTTTGGTGTTTGGGAAACTTGCTTCTTGAGTTCTTTGTAAATTTTGGAGCTCAGCCCTCTGTCAGATGTGGGTTTTTATAGTATGAACTTTTGTTTTGAGACAGGGGTTCTAAATTTGGTATCCAAACTGACAATATGTCTCCTCAATTGGCTGCACAGATTAGTTTCTTTCAATCCAGTGAACCTTAGTTAGCAGCATTTTCTGAACAAGATGCCTCCTGACTTTCTCATGACAGCCACATAATTATTAAGTCAACACAGAAGTGGTGGATGTCTTAGGAAAGCCAGGCTCATTAGGACTCAACGGGCAAGCAATAACAAGAGTTTCAGAGCTTGATATGCACTTTGTGGAGGTGTGACAGACTTACCAACATTGTCAGTCCCTTGGCTAACACACCACTGTGCATCAGTCGGGACATGAGTTCTTAACTCTGAATGTCCAGCTGGAGACAGAGGAGGCAAATGAATTGCATCCAGTCTATCTTACGCTTGCCCTGTCCTCTTCAGCAAAGGGGGAAACAATGCCAAGAGGCTCATTTTGGTGGAATTTAATCATAAAATGTTCTAAATTGTTCTCTTCCTCAAATCTGGTTGCTGTTATGTATTATTCGGAGTTGTGAAGTAATTGGTAGCACGTGGGACGGTACCTGCAGGGGATCCCAACTTGCCAGCCTCATTTGCCTCTGCACAACTTTTGATACGTCTCTGCTTGATAGAGCCAAATCTTTATTTATAACATATGGCCTCCCACTGACTCAGCGTAGCAACAGAGTGACTCTGTATCATTGCCAGAAATCAACTATACTAGCATTATATGCGAAAAAGGCATGCATTTGATTTAAAGTTCATATAAATTCCAGAAGTACTTTCATGTCTACAAACTCTGAGAGCTCCTATGAAAATATCCTAAATTTATCTCTGATTTTTTGTTTGATGTTGACTTTTCTCTTGCATCTTTATGCTTGGAGATCTAACTCATATTTGGCAAACATTGGGAGGGTCTGGCAGAGCAATATTGCATTCTTTCAAATGCTCTGCCCTGAGGGGTTCTATGAATGGGCAGGAACTACTCCAGGTTCTCCACAGTGGTAGGTGGGGCTGAGGTTAGAAGATGCACGTGTGTTTTTCTCTAGTGCATATTAAAAGCAAGCGTAATGCAGTCATTTTTAACAGTTTCCATTGGAAATAAATGTTACTGCTTATAGTTTGATTAATCATATTTGGGAGATTATTAGCAATGTTCCTGAAATTGGTCTAAAAATGTAAATAATGTTGCCACAATAACCCTTTTCTGAGAGAGTTAGTGGTTAAATCATCTGGTTAGAAAGACCCTGATTTGAAAGCCATTTGCCTAAGACTGTTCACCATCTGTTCAATCTGGAAACCAGGAAAAGTACAGCAGGTTTTGCTCTTTAAACACATCTTCCTTCATACTAGGACAGCCTTACTTTCAAAGGTGGACATTATAAGAATAAGGAAATCACTATTTGATATTATGAGTGTCTCTCAGCATAAAATTACCATATGTTCCAGAAATTGCATAACCATGTATGTGTGTATATATACAAATGTAGATACATATACACACTGTAGAATAACTTATAGAGTGGTCTGGCTAGCCCTTCTACACTAAAAGTAGCTGTAGGTGGCATTTGCTAGACAGAATACATTTTTCGAAGATGTTATCAAAGTAAGATGAAGATTTTATTATTGGTACTATATATACATATGAATGTATATATGTTCAAAGAACTAAAAACAAACAAAAGTGCTGTGCATTTTCATAGAAGTACTACTGTTTATCATAACCAACAGGTAGAAACAACCAGATTCCCAACAATAGATAAATTGACATCACAATGTATTTATATACACAGTGTAGTACATCCACACAATGGTATGTTATTTACCCTTAAAAAGAAAGAAATGTTGACCTGTGCTAGCATATGACTGACTTTGAAGATATATGTTAAATGAAAAACAATACCTAAAAGGCCAGCTAGTACAGATTCCATTTATATGAGATATACAGAATAGCCAAATCTATAGAGAAAGAAAAAAATCAGACTTTTGGTTGCCAAGAACTAGAGGGAAGTTTGAGAACAAGTAATAATTATTTAATGGATATAAGGTTTCCATTTGGAATAATGAAAACTTCTGGAACTAGACATCAGTCATAGTTACACAAAATAAACACACCCAATACTACTCAATTTTATACTTTTAAATAGTTAAAATAGCAATTTTGTTATTATATTTTTACCATAATAAAATACCTAAATATATGACCATACATTCTGCAACAAAATCTGTATTTAGTAAGCAGAAAATGTTGCACAAATAAGCACTCTAAAATAATGTATAGAGTATCCTGGATAACCCTTCTACACTAAGAGTAGCAGTAGGTGCTATGTGCTAGGAGGCACAATTCCTTTTTTGAAGGTGTTATCCAAAGTAAGATATTCTATTATTAGAATATATTAACTATATAAAATGATGGGCTTTATTATGACAAACTTTTTTTACAAAAATATATCAAAAGTCTTATTGTGAAACCAGAAACTTTGAAACTCTTATTCTGGAGAAAAAAACACTTCAAGATATATACACATAGTGGTTCAGTAGATGGCACAATGGTTAAGAGCACTGGCTGCTCTTCCAGAGGACCAAGGTTTGATTCTCAGGCCCTCCATAGTGGCTCACAGCCACCCGTAACTCCAGTTCCAGGGAGATCCAACACCCTTTTTTAACATCTGTAGGTATCAGGCCTGCACACATATGCATGCATGCAGGCAAAACACTCATAGATATAAACATTTTAAAAATCAACCTAAAATGTTTTTCAAAGATGTATAGGCACAGACAAAAGTTTTCTGAAAAAGATTAATAGCCTAGGAAATAATAGCAATCACTGACAAATAGTGCTGCATTAATTAAAAGGCTTCTGTGCATGCAAAGGGAGCAATTAACAGAGGAAAACACAGCTTACAGAAAGGGAGAGAATCTCTGCCAGCCATACATCTGCCAAGAGATTCATTATGGTTTGAATGTGAAGTGCTTCCCATAGGTACAGACTTCTGCTTTGAAACCTTGTTCCTTACCTGGTAGCTCAGTTTCAGAGGGCTGTGGGGCCTTCTGGAGATGGATCTGAGACACCAAGGGGAGACTCGCAGGCTATTTTTCTTGTTGTGGTGACAAAATACTTGACAAAAGGAACTTAAGGAAGGAGGGATCTACCTGGGGTTATACTTGGCCGGTACAGTCCCTCATGGAATGGGGATGCGGCAGCAGGGCTCAGAGCATCCAGTCATGAAGCATGGAGATAAATGTTGGTGCGCGCACACACACACACACACACACACACACACACACACACACACTTACTGAAAACCTTTATAAGAAGTGACCCTGAGGAACACCTCCACTGAGTGTGGGATTGAAAACTTGTATAGCCACTTTAGAAATCATCATGGCAGTTTCTCAGAAAATTGGGAATTAATCTACCTGGAGACCTCACTATGCCAATCTTGGGCATATGCTCAATCATATCACAAGGACACTTGCTCAACTATGTTCATAGCAGCATTATTCCTAATATCCAGACCCTGAAAACAACCTAGATGCCCCTCAACAAAAGAATGGATAAAGAAAAAATGTGGTACATTTACACAGTGGAGTATTACTCAGCTTGTAAAAAAAAAAAAAAAAACAATGACATCATGAAATTTGCAGGCAAGTGGATGGAACTAGGAAAAAGTCATCCTGAGTGAGGTAACCCAGACCCAGAAATACAAATATTGTATGTACTCATTTATAAGTGGCTTTTAGGTGTAAAAGTGGCTTTTAGGCTACAATCCACAGCCCCAGAGAGGCTTGGTAACAAGGAGGATCCTAAGAGAGATACACGAATTTCCTGGGAAGGGAAAATAGAAGAACTCTCCTGGGTAAACTGGGGTCGGGGCAGGGAGAAGGGATTCGGGATGGGAAGTTGAGGGATTGTGTTGGGTGGGTTGGGGTTGGGACTGAGTGGGAAGAGTAATGAAAGAGAGGTCTTGATATAAGGAGCTATTTTGGGGTTAGGGAGAAACCTGGTCCCAGGGAAACTCCCAGGAATCCCAGCTAAAGATCACCCCAGCTAAGACTCCTAGCAACGGTGGAGACCATGCCTGAACTGGCCTTCCCCTGTAATCAGACAGGTGACTACCTTAATTGTCATCAGAGAGCCTTCATCCAGTAACTGATGGAAGCAGATGCAGAGATCCACAGCCAAGCACTAGGCAGAGCTCTGGAGTTTGTTGAAGAAAAGGAAGAGAGATTGTAAGAGCCAGGTGGACAAAGGTCATGATGGGGGAACCCACAGAGACAGCTGGCCTGAGCTCCTGAATTCTTGTCCTTAAGGAATGATCGCATTGAATCTACAGGTTATTGGTTTCCACATTGAGACTTCCTCTCGAACAAGACCAGGAAAGAGCACAAGAGCCTACATTTCTGGCAGGGGTCTATTGGACGTTATTGTTATAGCTCACACACAGCCAAAAGAGCAGCATCAACAGTTGGCGGCACAATACCCACTGCCATTAGATTCTGCATTTCCTCTGTGATTTTTCCCCTCTGATGCATTACAGAGCATTAAATAGCCACTACAGCATGTCCATTCAGATGACTATGGCATGGTGACATGCAGACCTTTGTGTTAGTTCAATGGCTTTCCTTTCTCTGGGAGTCGCTTGGTCTTTCCATCATTGTATGGTACTTAAAAGAAGATAAAAGTTGACGGAATGCTACCTGTCTAAACTGTATTCATTTAAACATATTTACATTTACATACATTTACAATGTGTACCTTCCATATGAAATGGATCCACTCTCACTCAAATACAGAGTTGTTTGGAGTCATTAGCACACTGCCTGAAAACTCAAGAACTGTTCCTAAAGGTGCTTTATGTGTTGGATCATAAGGCGTAACTAATGTTTAATGCTGTATTATTTCTAGAAACCATAGGAAGCTGTGAGGCAAAGCTGTTGTTTACCTGTTCCTTAAAGGGTCATTACTGCCTGTACAGCAAGTCCAGCTTCACCCTCATCAGCCAAGCACCCCAGCCATGGATCCAGATCATGTTTCTCTTCCAACAGGTGTGTGTAATTCATGCTCATTGGGCTCCTGAATAAGTCACTAGGATGTGTGATTATTGAGTTATTAATCCTTTGGCCAGAAATGGTGTGTACATGACAGCACATTTACATTCATTCTTAGAACATGTTTTCTCAAAAAAAAAAAGATATTGGTTCCTTAATCAGCAAGTCAAACCTGTTCTCATCTTGCTTTAAAGGAAAAGTGGGAGGGATGGGGGAAAGAGAAAAAGGGCTGGGCACCACATTTGCCTGCATCGAGTGAGCCCTAGGTTCAACCCTCAGAACTGAAGTTTTAAGAACTTTTGTGTTCCATTTGTTTAACTCTGTGGAGCTGTGTTACTTTGCCTGTCTAAAACACCTAATTGGTCTAATAAAGCGCTAAACGGCCAATATCGAGACAGGAGAAAGGATAGGTAAGGGTGGCAGGAAGAGAGAATAAATAGAGGAGAAATCTGGGGAGAGGGAATGATCTAGGAGCAAGAGTAGGAGGAGGACTCCAGAGACAAGAAACCCAACTACACAGCAATCCATGGAGTAAGAAGTAAGGAAAATAGAACAGAGAAGGATTAAAAAAAACCCAGAGGCAAAAGGTAGATAGGCTCATGTAAGTTTTTTTTAAAGTTGGTTAGAATTAAGACAAGCTAAGGTCAGGTGTTTATAAGTAAGAATAAGCCTCCGTGTATTTATTTGTGAGCTGGGTGGTAGGTCCCCCAAAAGAGTTAGAGTAAAAACAACAACAACAACAACAACACCTGTGTTTTGAAAACAAAATAGGAAGCATTTGCAGTTAAGAAAAATGTGGGCAGAAGTTGAAAATGCAGGATCTGAGTGTTGTAACGTGATTGAATATTAAGCCAAGTGATCCAACCATATTGTTACTTCAGTTAATAAAATACTTCTGTAATAACACCTACAAAAATCACCTGGGGTGGTGAGGTGGTAGTGATGACCTGAGTTTAATTCATTGGATCCACATGGAAAGAGACTTCTGCAAGTTGTCTTTTAACATGCACATCTGTATAACGTAGCATGCACATGCCCATAAACACACACACACACAATTAACTAATAAGTAAATAATAAATAAATAACATTTTTCAATTTAATAAAATACTTAAAAATTACAGTTGGACAATGCTTTTCCTAGCTATCATAGGTTATCAGCTAAAAAGCCCAGTGCCTTATACAGGTTGCCTTTTTATAAATTGTTGGCCAGTTAGGTCTCAAAGACTCCCAAACATTGCAAGCTATTGCTATTAGTAGTTTCCAACTTTCCTCATGCTGTGGTGACCTCCAAGCACAAAATTATTTTTGTTGCCATGTCACAGCCGTAATTCCGCTACCGTTATGCATCATCATGTAAATGCTTTTGAAGACAGAGGTTTGTCAAAGGGACTGCAACCCTCATGTTAAGAACAGCACGCTCTGAACCATCAATGACTGCATTGCTAAAGACATCATACAGTTGAAGCAAAGAATATAGAGAAATCAAGCTGGTTATCAACTTGGAAGCTTTGTCCCTACTGCCTAGTTTCTACAATGCTGAAAGACCGTATACACGGGACTGGGGAAGAAGAATAATTGTCAACCTTATCCAACTGTTAAGTCCTGCAAGCTACAGTAACTGGCCTGAAAAGATTACACATGGATGCAACACTGGCAAAAATATAGGAGCAACCAAACACCTTCTGATTGGTTTTAAGGCGTACTCCACAAGAAGGAACTCATGCCTGTCATCATTCACGGGATCAAGAACCCATGGTTAGGCAGAGCACAGGCTCTCAGGGAGAAAAGCACTGCCATTTTTTCCACTAAATGGCATAGCATCTTAAACTGTCTCTTAATGGCTTCTCGTTATACCAATGGAGTAGTGGGCCACCCATCCCTTTTCAAAGAAGCTTCTTTTTACAGTAGATGGCAACTAAATATCTAACACAGAGACCCACAATTGAACAACATGTAAAGCATAAAAGCTTGGAGTGCTCAGCCATAAATGGGATGTTTATATCTGTACTGGGGGCTTTGTGTGTCCACTTGACACAAGCTATAGAATCATCAGAGAGGAAGGAGCCTCAGCTGAGGAGATGCCTCCTGAGATCCAGCTGTCGGACATGTTCTCATTTAGTGATCAATGGGGGAGGCCCAGTCCGTGGTGGGTGGGGCCATCCCTGGGCTCTTGATCCTGGGTTCTATAAGAAGAAGGTTGAGCAAGGCATGGGAAGCAAGCCAATAAGCAGCACCCCACACCTCCCCCCGCATGTCCTCTGCACCAGCTCCTATCTCCAGGATCCTGCCCTGTCTGAGTTCCTGTCCCGACTTTCTTCAATGATGGACAACAATGCTGAAGTGTAAGCCAAATAAACCCTTTCCTCCCCAACTTGCATTTCGTCATGGTGTTTGGTCACAGCAATAGAAACCCTAATGAAGACAATATCACATTTTCTCCCAAGGCAGGGATCACCATAAAACAGAGGGTATAATAATGTTAACAGCCAGAGGTACTAGATGACCTAGAAAACAAAGTAGTGTTTTCCAGACACAGCATAGCAGCTGCACATCAACTCGTGGTGGTTGCAACAGTTTGAGCAAGATCAGGCCAGACAAAAACCACAGCCCAGAGGATGGAGATGTCACGAAGCCCCACTCCTAGCTGAGACACTGTTAGCAATTGATGATTGCTTCAAGAGGATTAGTTAAGATTTTTATTTTAGGATTCAGTCCCTGAGAGGCTATTGATGCCCCAGTGGATGATAAAATACCCATGCATATACTGGTATCTCTTAGTAGGGTTACTAGGTTTGAAAAGGAAAGTCAGGACATGTGAAACTGGGAAGGAATCATAGTGGGAGACTAGAGAAGGAATTGGAGAGGAGGGAATAGAGGAATGGACTTGGTCACAACACCTTATACACATATATGAAATTTTCAAACCAAAAAAAATTCCAAGAAAAGGAAAAAAATCAAAATTAAATAAAATTTAAGAGTCACAAGCCAAAGTAGCCTAACATTGCTTTATGAAGTCAGGCTTATTGAGGAAGCAATGAAATGCAGCGCTTACCACTTTGTCATCATAAAATGTAACTACAGTAAGAGAAGGTGTAGAATCTGCCAGTTTTTTTTTACTGTGTATGTCTTCTTAAGAATATTTAATAACGTCTTGCAAAGAACAGTGCAGACACTGATGTGAGCCAAGTTGCACATAAACTTAAAACATAGCATTTTTTCTTAGAATAATAATATTCATTTTCCTCCACTCATTTTTTCAAATAGTTTTCATCAGTGATTTTGTATCTGACTCCATGTTTGACTTTGTTCTTAACCACACCAAGAAAACTTTTTTTCATTCTTTCACTCTTGTTTTATTGATAATCTGATTCTTTCTCCTCCTTTTTTAAGGAAATTCACCAGAAAGTGTCTCTTTGTTATGTTGAGTTTATTTTATTGTAGTGCTTTCTCTCTTTGTTCATACCCATGACTTATGCAATCTGGGTAAATCCTGACTTGGGTCAAAGCCACAACAAGCTTTCGTTATCTAGTAACTACAACCCCATCACTGGTCTTGTATACTTGGCCACCTCTTACCATCATGTCAACTCCCCAGATTCATGGAGTTCCCAGACTTAGATCCTGTCCCTCTTTGGATAATGAGTCATTAAATCAAGCCTTGCTCTTCTTGAAACAAAACAACATGTACTGTATGACTCTGACAATAATCAAAAAAATTCCAGGGTATGTGCACAAAGTAAGTTTCAATCAGTGTCCTGCCTCGTAAACTTAAAATCTGTCATTTGGGCTGGAGACATGGCTCAGTGGTTAAGAGCACTGGCTTCTCTTCCAGAGAACCCAGGTTCAATTCCCAGTGCCCACATGACAGCTCACAACTATCTGTAGCTCCAGTTCTAGGGAATCCAAAACTCCCACACAGACATACATGTAGACAAAACACATATGCACATAAAATAAAAGTAAATAAATCATTCCCCCCAAAAGTTAATACATTTCAAAATAAAGCTAAAAAAATTTGTCAGTCACTAACTTGGGGTCCACAATTCTCTACTTTTCTCAGTCAGCACAAGAGGCCACTCACTCTTTTGATGACAATCAGGAGATTTTCCTATAGAAATATTTAGTATTTCTTGCTCAATAAGTAGAAAGTTGCACACATAGATAGTCTACAAAGTCTCAGTCATTGTCATGAGAATATGATTTATAAGCCAATCTCATTATTGTATCCTACCTAGGGTATCGTATGTGAATAAATGGTATTTATGTCACTTAATGGTGTTCTCTTACGTTTTTAAAAAATTCTTCTCTTAAATTAATTTGGTTTCTCACATCCATAAATGGAACATTCCAATGTGTCAAGGAATACTGGTCACATCCTAGTTTAGTAAATATGCAAACATATGCCTAACATGCCTATTGAAAAGCTGATTCTCACTGGCTGTACTGAATTCTACTTATTTGTGTGTGTATTTGTGTGTGTGTGTGTGTGTGTGTGTGTGTGTGTGTAATGTTTCATTGACAACACAAAGAAGCCAAAGCTTTAAGAATATTCACCCATGTCACATTTTAGGATGAAGAATATTTTATTTGTCCCAAACTCATTCAGAATATTCATGTTACATAATTATATAATGAACTTTAATAATTATTTGATCTCTATCATAATCCACTCTGTATATAAATAAACTCTTATGAATTCTGGTTTTAATTTTATGCCTTCATTTCTCAGATCTTTGGTAAATTCAATATGAATATTCCTAGTTACCACTTTCCAACTAAGTAATGTTATTGGGAAATCATTAAGATAGCATTATATTACAAGATTTAGGCACATATATAAACAAGAATATGCAACCTTATTAATTTAAAATTTCTTTTAGAAACTCAGAAATGTGAGTTTCTAAATCATAAATTTACTCTTCAGTACAGACTTCTGGTACATCATTTAAAGTTACATCATGTTAACATTGAATGTAGGCCTACATAATACCTTGGTGTCTATCAGATTGGGCCAAGAGGTAATGTGATTTCTCCATCCTTATGCCTATGTAGAGCCTGTTTCCTGAGCCCCTGTCCATTCAGAGTGGGTCTATACAGTTCCTCAAAGGCCTATGGGAGAAGACACAGGCCAGTGGAACCCACAGCTTTGAAGACGCTATGACAGAATCCACATTTCTACAGCAAAAGGTAAGTGCTTTTCTCCTCACACAAGTTATTTTAAACCAAGATTCAGCACTGTGTTTTGTAACATGTATTCTTCCTGCCAGCCTGGTCCCAGAGCCGTGTCAGTCCCAAATGAACACATAGGACGCTATATTAAGTTGTTGGCTGTTTGCTATGGTTTCTTAATAGCTATCTCTGACTTAATTATTAACCCATAATTGCTAATCTGAGTCCACGTGGTCTTCCCTTACTGGAGAGAGAGTCTGGACCTCTTACTTCTCTCACATCCTACATAGTGATTGACTGTCTTCATTTCCCAGAATCCTCCACCTCTCCTAGTCCCACCTATCTTGCTTCCCTATTAACCAGCAGTGTTTTATTTATCAACCAATCAGACAAACATATACACAGAAGGACTCCCCCATCAGTGTTTAAATGGTTTGCATTTTTCTTCAAAGTTCAATTTTCCCTTCTTTGTTTCTCTTCTCTTACTATTGGAAAATTCTTATGAAGAAATTACTTTTGGAATTTGATCTTATTGTGCATACCTGTAATCCTAGCACTCAGGAAGCCAAAGCAGAAGAATTACAAGTTCAAAGCCAAGCTGGGCCATATAGTGTTCCCTTGTGTCAATAACAATAATCACCCTTGTGGTGGCAATGGTATTATTGCCCCCATGGTAGCCTAAAACCTCCTTAGCAGGCAGCTGTACCAGAAAAAGATCGCAGGGCAGGATAGCCTGGATTTGGATAGAGGGAAAATGTGATACAGGGACTTTGGTGAGCTTAGTTCCCTGTGTGAAAATCCATGGGGCTGTGTAGAGCAATGACCTGACCCAAGACAGGAACTGTACTTGGAAGGCTGAAGACAGACTGACCAAAGACAGGCTGGGTTACTTTGGGGTTAATGAAGTTGCCATGGCTTGGGGTAGTATGGACACTTTCAAATCTCCAAATGTCATTAAGCCTATTTAATGTGATATGGTGGGGCATCGAGGAATTGATTAACTCATGGGGTAAGATTATTATAAAGGCCGTCAATGGCTTTCTAGAAGGGATAGGAAGAGACATCTAAACCCATCTCTTCTTCTGCCATCCACAGAGGTTTGGGAGCCGTGCCCAAGTTCTTACCACATATCACAGCTTCCAGGGCCTTGGTCTTAGATGTCCTGGCTCCTGGGACTGTAAGAAATAAATTATGCAAGTGTCTCATCCTCAGGCATTTTGTTAATGCAGCAGATTAAGATAGCGTGGGTGCCATGTTTGTGAATTTTTGTGGCTGAAATGCTAGTGTTGTCATCACAAAGGGAGGTATAATGGGAGCTATGGATTTTGTAGTCACAAGACATCACTTGATATCATTGCAGTAGATTGGCTCATTCAAGAGACATGCATGGGTAAATACAGATGGCTTCTGAGAACTTCTCTGACCATGGTCAGATTTCCACAATAATCCCTATGTAGGTCCAAGCACTCTTATTAATGTTTCTACTTTTAAGAATTCCCAGTGATAAGTATTGGATGCCAAGTGGGAAATCCAGACTTTCTGATTATATTTGATCAATGTCTCTGGCCTCGTTTTTCTGATTTTTCTTTTAAAAGTTGCACATTTTTGTGGAATATTATGGGGTATTTGGATCAGGATAAATCTCTCAGTTTCAAACATTTAGCATTTTGTGGAAAAAAGCAAACTCTCTTATTATATATAATGAAATATATACATCGTCATTATCTATAGTCACTTTACTACACAATCGAATACCATGTCTGCCTCTTGTCTCTTCTGTCGGGTACCAAATGGCCAACCTTTCCCCTCCTCTCCCTCCACTCGTTTTTTGTATTTGAGAAAGCAAATAAGCATGTCAATGTCAAACAAAGTCAAACAAAAGCTCAAAAGATACCTTGTTAGGTAAGGGCTCTTGCTCTGCAAGTAAGAAGGCCTGAGTTCAAGTCCCCAGCACCCACATTTTTTTAAAGGCATGGCTGCATGTGCAGCCAGACTAGCAGGAATTTCTGCTTCAGTGAGGGACCCTGTGTCAGGAATGAGACAGAAAGCAAGAGAGAAAGACACCAGTGTCCTCCTCTGTCCTCTGCATCTGTGTGCACTGGCATGTGCACACATGCAACACATGTACACAATAAGGAAGTGCAAACAAATGGCAAATTGATCCAAACCTGTTACATTGTGGAAATATCTCTTATATGAAGGATAGCAACAGGATGAGAATTGTAGCTAACAGAACTTTTGTTTATAAGGCTATAGAAAACAGAGGAATATTCAGCTTCTGTTTCCCCAGCTTTGGTTTAAGAATGTGACGATGGGTATTGAAAGGAAAGGGAAATCCCCAATCACACCGCAGAAAGCAAATGGAATTCTTTGCATATTTCTCTGAAATTTTCAACTGTTATATCACAATTAAAGACATTGCATCAAATTCTTGTAAGTTTCCTAAGCGTTAACTATTTTTAACTGGATACAACAAGAAAAGTAAAACTTGGCACCTACTTAAGGTTCTTAGAGATTAAAAAAAAATAACTTGGCAATCAGTTTTGTACTCGCTATTACTGTTATCCATGTTCCTACTTCAGGCCAATAAATATCCCTCAAGGGAAAAGGTAACTGTAAAGCCAATTTTTGGAAATGTTCTAAGTTTCATAATTTGGTTTATTCATGAGAATGGAAAAATGTTGGTATCTGGGATGTACATGGTGTGGCAAAATTTCTGTCCCCAGATTTCTCAATCATACTTCCTAGCTGCCATCTTTTATAAAGAGTTCTCCATATTAAGTTCAAAACAGCTGAGACTCCTTACAGGGGCTTCTTTATTTCCACGGTATGTTCCAGGGTACACAAACACACATGTGTATTCACACACATACATACACATGTGTACCCACGAATCATGTGCATGCATACACACCATATGCATACACATACACACATGTGTGTACACACATGCCTAGCACATGAATACACACACAACACATGCACACACACATGCACACACGTGTATACACACACACAGGCACAGTGTGGAAGTGATGGCATTTGCCTCTCTGCTTCTGAACTTTCACTTCAGTCTAGAGAATCCGGGCTCTTGAGAGCAGCAGATGCTCAAGAGAAGACACATCTGAGATAATCTAGAATGTGACTCTGTGGTATTTTTAAATAGAAACTCGGAATATTAGAACTGAAGTCTGTCACTAAGATTCATTAAACTAAGACCGTGTATGATGGAATGCACATGTTATCCTGTCACTTACCCAGAGCCTGAGACAATAGCAAACATCCGAGGGCAGAGATTTCCTCAGATCTACCATTTTATTTCCAATATCGTACAGTATTTGGCCCAGGCATTAGATGTCCATGGAGTAAACAAATACGGCCATGTCCAAATGTTAAAATTAAAAACAAGGGGACCTGTTGAAAGTCAGTGGCCGAACTAGAGCTGGACTGCATGCCATGGTGAGATCAGGGTTGTCGCCAATCCATCTGGTTCTTCTCTCATCTGAACACAGGGGAGCATCGAGTTCTTGAAGCAGCAGAGCTTTAGTCTTGAGACTTGCCTCAGGCCAGGAAGCAAGACGGGAGTTCTGTGTTGCTCCAGTCCTAGGCTTTTGAAAGTCAATGTGCAAATGTCTGTGTTTTCTCTCTTCTCCTACCGTGGTGACTAGAAGCAACTACTGATACTGGGTTGACAGAAGGTGGAAACAGCCTGGAATTCTGAGCCCCCACATGGGGGTCTGCAGCTCTGAGATGATAGCTGATCCCATCACTTGTGTTGCATGAGAAAGGACTAACATTTTGCTCTGTCAAAAACTGAAATTTCATATTGGATAGAGCAGCATTCCTTGTCCTTCTTCCTCTATACACATACTGGAATAGCATGACCTGGGATTAAATCCTGCCACTCACTGGGGACTTTGTCTCTGTGCCTCAGTTTCCTTGTGTCTCCCCCTCACCCTCCATCACTGCCTCTCTCTCCCTACCTTCCTCCTCCCTCCTCTGTCCTCCTGCATTCCTCATCCCTCTTATTCTATCCCTATCCCGGTCCCTATCACTCTCCCTATGTAACACAATTAAAATCTGCCTTAGATGCACTGAGAAAAATTCAGAGTTGAGAAACAAAGATGAATTTCAAGGATAATCTCTTATAGTTTTATAATTTAATCAGGCCAACATTATCATAGAGCATTCTCCAGATTTCCATGAATTTTCAACATAAAATTCAACGCATTTATCATTTGCAAATTCTTACCAACCTCACAGCAGAATTGAAGTGTGACACATTCATATAATACTATACTTCAAAATTACAAAATTGTGAGAGAAAGTTAGTGTTATATGTATAATGCATATGTTCACTGGTCCAAATGAAAAAAAATAATTTCTATATGTTCATGGCATTAAAAATTTGGATGAGATCCAAACTTTTATTAATCACAAATTTTGTATCAAATGATATTGTCTGTGTCTTAGTTATTCTAAACCGTAACCAAGGCAAGTTACAGAAGAGAGAATTTATGAGGGCTTACAGTTATGAAGGTTAGAGTCCCTGTCCGTCATGGCAGAGAGCACACCATCAGGCAGGAAGACAGGCATGGTGCTGGAGCAGTAGCTGAGAGTGTCCATCCTTATCCACAAGTAGGAGGTGAAGATAGAGACACTGGGAGTGGTGTGGGCTTTTGAAACCTCAAAGTCCATCCCTAGTGACACACCTCCTCCAGCAAAGCCACACCTCCTAATCCTTCCCAAACAGTTCCACCAACTGGGGATCCAAGCATTCAAGCATGCCCGTGGGGCCTATTGTCATTCAAACCACCACAGTCTGTCTCCCTAATGAGATTTGTCTGATACAAGAAGTACACTTTGCACTCAAAGAATCACAAGCTTAATGATACTCAATGATATTTTCTGACTCAATAAAATGAATGAGTAGTCTTATTAACTAGAAACAGAATTATTTTTAGAATTATGCATCTTTATCTAAGAAAAGAAAATTATGCTTAGTGATGAAATATTCA